TAGTGGGGAAGTTCGTAGCTCTCCTAACATTGTCAAACCCTCAGGGATTGGCTTCTAATGTAGGTTATGTAATACGTAACAACGCAGCGTTAAGGATGTCAGGAGCCTTTATGACATTAGATAGCCAGCAAAATGTTCTAACTTCAATATAATAGGAAACGTGTAGGATTACTTCGACGGTTCTCCGAACTGCAAACAGTTCAGTAACTATGGTACGCTCTTGTGAACGCTTTAAAATACGTTAAAATAAGCGTGAGCATGAAGTTTGATACATGATACTCGTAAGCGAGTTAGTCAAAAGTCTCGGTTTTCATTTAACTTTCACTGACTCGGCACCATATGCTGGGGTATATATTATTTTGCCGGTGGTGTGCACTTAAAACCGGTTGCCTGTGTCTCTTAAACCACGCTGTCATCCGATGATCGACACCACTAATTTAAACTGAACACGCAGTAGTATGAATTACCGATTTTCAGCTAAAGCTTCGGCAGACCAAGTGGCTGAATTAGGATTTAGCTAAAAAGCTGGCTGATGCCAGGACAACAAACAGACCACAGCTGTTTAAAGGATACCGTTGTTGCTATTCACCTATCTGTGGGCAGTACAATTTCAAGCAGTCGCTAGCATCCCAATTTTGTTGATGTGCCGGGTGAGATTAGATAGAAGTTGACTATTATGTGATTCAAATTGAGGTCTCATTATTGTAAGACCCAGTGGTCTATTACCCGGCTGATGGTGAGATCGGATACATAAGTTAGCACATTATCACCCCCGTCTAAATCATGTCATACGCTTGTGCAGCAACGTGTTAGCAGTCACGCAGGGTCCATGTAGTTGACGAATGCAATGGTAAGTTAAGAGTAACGAGTACTGCTGTCATCTATTATCAAAGGTATAATGGTAAATGCGTCTTACACCTGACGCGTCAGGAAAGATGGCGATTAACAAACTAAGCGATGCAGCAAACTATTTGCAGGCATATATGGGTAATAAATCGCGACTGGCCGAAAAATTGCAAAATAAAGGAAGGGGTTCACCGTAAGATGTATATCAAATGGCTAGCGCTTAGAGGGACAGTATCGCTTAGGGATTGATTTAGCCTCGTCGCGGGACACGTATCCCAGCAAACTTAAGAACTAGTCGACCTATGGGGTCGCGCATCCCACTTTGGACTGCAGGTGAACGTCTGGCACGGAAAAAAAGCATAATTGCGCTGTATGCTTGTTTTATGTATTGATAGGCTACTTTTTAGGGCTACACCTATCCATTGGCTGCTTAGGCGGGCTCAGGATTTAAAAATGGATCGTACGGATAAGAACTGCAACAATGAATAACTTTAATGGAAAGGGCTAAATGACCGCCTACCCTCTTAATGTCCTGCAATTTCAGCATAAATAGATGAGTGAAGTGGTACCGCTTCTTGCCATTACCACGAGCAAAACCAGCGGTAGAGTTGGAGGCGCCCGATCCGGTTCGAGAAACACTGGTACTCACATGGTCCCCACCACCAGTGCAGTCCTCCGGGGTGATTCGTGTATTAGAGGTGTCTTCGTGGCCACCAGGCTCGTGCGACTCACCTACACGAAAGGGGACGAAAGAAATGTACGGTGGATCACTCGACCACGAAAATACGATGCGACCAGTGAGGTATGAAATTTCCAGGAGAATGAGTTTGAGAATGAGCTGGAATATAACTACTTGGCATCATGAAATGCGAATCTGCTTGGTATTTGAGGTAGAAAATGAGGGCGAATAAATGGGTCTTATTTCAACGTAACGCGGCTGCAAAGAGCGAAAACACCATCAATGTGACAATTGAACGGATAGGCACAATGACGGAACCGCCAGAAAATCTAACTTTCGAATATTTGTCACAAGTGAATTTAACTGGCATGGACAAATAAAATACGTGGTACAGTAAAATAATGCCCGGGAAAGATATGAGAGGGTTCCAAAGAGTGAAGGAGGTGATTTACACCAGAACTCGTAAAAATGATGTTTAAAAGGTTATTTCCGATGCAACGAAAAGGATAGGCTAACTGGAAGGCAAAAAGCTAAAGTTCTCTGTATTTTCCAAATGTTTTCACTACCTTGTACGGCGTCCACAGCGGCCTGAATGGCATGAGCCATTGGCTCCCCAGTGTGACGCTTTTTGGGGCGAACAACCTCAAGAGAGTCAGTGAGGAGAAACAGAGTGACTGGCTCTAAACAGGGTTGTCCCGAGGCGTTCAGACTTAGTTGGAAGACACTAAGACTGCTGATAAGGCTACGTGAAGAGGAGAGCATCTCCGGCTAAAGCAGACAGAAAAAAAGAATCTTAAAGGTTGATAATCGGACTCAGAGGCAAAGGCTAATTGCGTTTACGCAAAGAGATCAGGCTATTTCAAATGGGCAATAATTGACAGCTTCCCACCATACGAAGGCTGTGGCTAGAGTAATAGACAGTCATACGTACACAATTTAAGCGCGATGGTTTTGAAGCCGTGAAAAACAAATCCTACATGCATGGCAGATGGTCACATTCTTTTATTCTCCCTTCCGCTCAAGACTTCGCTGGACCAACCGTATGACTCGCAAATCTCCCCCGTAAATTTGCATATAGCGTTGATTGCAAACCCAAACGTGGTGGAATGCAATGTAGACGAATGTTCAGTAATGAAATTTTACTACTGAAATTGCAAAAAGGTAAATATAGACCAATCTGCGAATAAGGTTACCGTGTTAGACACTAGAAGACGATTGGGAATTGACGCTAGAAATCAACAAATGCGCAGACTATGTGTGCAGCTTAAATCAGGTCCTCACGTAAAATACTTCGTGCGCGTATCAAATCAATCTAGTGAGTCGGGCTCCCAGCTGTTTTAAAGCAAAATAAATTTGCACGAGTAGATAAAAAAGCAAATTAGACAAGAGATTATAACAGATGTTGGCCGAAACGGATTGCGACTACAGTCATCTTACTTACTTACTACTTACTTCACAGCCATCAGGAATAATAAAAGATAAATAGTTAAAAACGATGGACAATTTATGGGCTTCATGATATATGATTAAAGGCGTCATTTGCGTGACCAAGCTATCTGCTAACTATTGGCGGGAAATATATTAAATTTATACTTGACACTGTGCCGACTACATTGTTATTTCCAAAACACTAAGTGTCTATTAGTCTACTTTGTGCCTGCCTTAGGAATGGCATCTAGGCATCCGTTGGATATCGCCAGAACAATGGAGACCACGCAAACTAACTACCAGGAATGAGTAAAAAACGATTTATTTATTAGTGTAGCACCTGTTTCTTTATAATACTTTAATAACTAGTCACAGCTCAACGACGTGAGCTAATTCAACGTGCTCACGTCAAACGATTTTCCAATTTATATCAGAACATAAATAATTCCGTTTTTCACGTTTCTCTAATAACTACGTAATTAGAAAAGGAAGAATAGAGACCCACCGGAGCGCCGTTAATTTTATGATACAATGTGAGAAGGGATATAAGTTCATCGTTCTTTTTTAATCTGGCATCGATGTTGCTTAGCACACCTTCCAACTTCTCCACAAAGCCCCTGATGTCCGTATGATCCGGGTGAGAAGCGGGTGTGAATTTCATTACACCTGGCAAGGGGAAGTGTTGGAGAAGAAGGGAAATATCAGCCAAAACTACAAAGTAGAACGCTAAACAGTGTATAAGAAGAGGTATGGTGACATTATTTGAAGGTATGAAAACTATCCACCGCATAGCTAACAGAGGAATAGACATGATCAACTCATATTATTGGTGTACGCGATTCCAACCTAAAAGGTAACAGCATTCACGAGCACCCGTCCCTAAAGCGGATTAATTAAAAGATAGGGGAGGAAAGAAATAACTAAGCTTTACGCTCTTGGAGGATAAGGTACAATTGGTTTACCAGTGATAACAGTCGGAATCTACTAAATGGGGGAAACAACCAACAGTTGGACAAAGTTTGTGATTTGTGTACCATTCGGCCACCCTCGAGTTTGTGATGTTCAATCGGATATGTATAATCTCACTGAAAACTATAGCGGACCAGAAAGTTTAACTAAAAAATAGCTCGGAGGCCGCTAAGCATAATGGGGCATCCTGACGTGATCTGAGGATAACAGTCACATTAGAAATCGGGTGGATTTGCAGGTCATCCACAGGAGAATGTCGTGCAAGGACGAAGAGCTCATGGTGGCATGACGAGAAGTTTCGGTGGACATTGTACGTGACGCGTCACCTGGCAATGGAAACATATTGTCAAGTGTTTGTGGTTGGGTTGGAAACAGAAATAAGGAACTAAGGTATGCCGTAGAAATAAAAATGTATAACGCGGATGGATAGATTTGATTTGTCCGACAAAAAATACGATTGTTACCATCAGAATAGCCACCGTCACCAAAGTGAAATAGCACGAGCGAAATAAGATCGAAGAATCAAAATAAACGAGCACAGAAGAAGGTGCGCCCACTGGAACAAGAATTTTATTTTCCTGACGTTTCTTTAATCATAGGTAATCGACGACGAGCGAGCATAACTGTCGCGCTCTTATCAAGCCCGCACTCGACATGAACAACGAAATCGCGGCAATTAATGGCTCGAAAGCAAAGTGTCAAGCCATCATCGTACCAATTAAGACCATAAGCGGTGGCAGCAGGAGCTGAGGATGTCTGCTCCGAACTATAAATACCGTGCAATCTGTGCATGTATCACCCCTATCTGCACATGTCCCAAACTATCCTACGATTACCTATGATTAAGGATTCTCGACAGAATCCGAAACGTCAGGAAAATAAAACTCTTATTCCAGTAGTCGCATCTTCCGAACTGCTTCCTTGAACTCGCACATTCACTCCTATTGGCAATAAACGAGTATCTTATAATTGAGCTTTATTTATCTTAAATTTAACGTATCGAAACTAAAACAAGAAAAAGAATAGCAAATAATATATTAATTGGTTAGAACAATCCGTTTGCGTGATAACGATCCTCTATTCCGTGTTGCCTTAGTACATAGCACAATTGCAGCACGGGCA